AAAAACAACAATATTTTGGACGCTCTTGTTTATTTTATTAAATATTTTATATAGTAATATTGTTTACTGATCAAATACAGTAATATTGTTTATAATTAGACGTAAGTGGACAGAATAATTACAATTTGATTTAAATACTTTTTAAGAGTTAATTTTTTATAATTTTTTTCCTTAGAGAAGATTCTTGACTCTTCCAAAATATGATGTATATTTAAAATATAAAGTATGAAGTTGCAATTTGTTAATTAAAAATTAAAAATTTAGATTTTTTAATAAATATTAAATGATGTACATATATTTAAACTAACGTCGTTGAATTTTCATTAATGGTTTTAAAGTCCACATCATACATATATATAGTAAAATGTATCCTGGTTAATTAATTATAGTTGATAAATAAAAATAAAAGTAAAAGTAAAAATATATATATGTCCAAGCTGATCCAACACATGTAAAACTTAAAACAATTTTTTTTTAAGAGAGAAGATTTTCTTTAAATAAAAAATGTATGTCTTTTTTTGCAAACATATAAGTATAATTTATCCAAACATATAACGAGACATTTTTAATGATATATGTGACATTTTTATTTTATAAAAATAAATAATAAATATATATTTTTCATAAACCTAAAGCTTAAGCTTTAATAACCTAATTGTCGTTGGTCTTAAATATGTTCTTCTTTATTTTTATTTTTGTTTTAAAACATCAATTTTAATTCTTGAATTAGTTATATATACTTTTCTTATATATGTGTACATTTTATATTGTACTTCAATTAATTATGCATATTAATTATGTACTTTATCATTTTTATCTATCCGAGTTGCATTGATCATTCTAGAGTTCAAATTTAAAATCATACACATATTATCCTAACCTTTATTATTAGGTCATTTTTAGTGGTTCTTATGTATTTTCATCTAAATTTCAAAATATTTTATATCATATATAAAATACATTATATAATAAATAAACAAAAATAACATTAAATCTAAATGTTAATGATGCCTCGCTTTCATGTATTCTTTTCATTCCAAAAGTTAAACTCATGTGTTAACCTTGGGATTTTTTTTGTTGTTGAAAGGATCTCATTGCAACATTAATTTGGTTATGTTCAATTAATGTCGGATTTCAAATTTTGGAGTTAAAATAAAGTATTGTTGTCACTTGTATTTTCTTTTTTAATGTGAATTAATCTCTACTTGTAAGGAGTTAAACACGACTTCATATTAATTATATTGTAAGCTGGGTACAAGGAGAAAAAACCCAATAACTTTTTCGTTACTAATTAATAGCTTGTCTGCATCCTTAATAGTCATAACAAGTTTGTTATGAACACGTTCAAGTGTTCAAGCCCTATCTAGGAAGGTCTAACAAATGATTGTGTATTTCAAATGTTAATAAATATTTTTTAAATTCTATTTTTTTATTGTTAAATTATATTTTTATCTCTCTATAATCTTCCATTTTTAACTTTTAAAGTTATACAATTTTAATTTTTCTGTCAATTAATTATTAGTTATATCAATTGATAATCACGTGACAATAATGCTTACAGAAATTGATAACATGTCACTTTAGTAATGTATCACATAAATGGAATAATTATAGTAATTTATCACATATATGGAATGATGAGGTGACAAAGTCACGTTATGAAGGCTAAACATTATTATCTTCATTATAATTTATACCATTTAAACCACTTAACACTCTCTTTTTTTTTTTTTTTTTTTTTTAACTTGAACACTATATTATACAATATCACTATTTACGTCAATAAATTTTTTATATTCTTTATCTAATGTTAATCTAGTTTAAAACTAATAAATAAAAAATTATTTAATAAAATATTTAAATATATAATTATTATTTAATATATTTTTATACAATAAATATAAGTACAAAATCATTTTTTTTTATCTTTTATTTTATTTTTAACTATATTTTCTCTTTTTTATAATACACCAGTAATGTTATATTATTTATTTTAATATTATAAAATTAATATTATTTATTATATAACAAATATATTAAGTAATATATATATATATATATATACTA